GGGGGGGGAATCGTATTTACACGTGAGATCGGGCTCAGCCAATGTGAAAAGTTGGTAACGGCTATAAATAGTCGTCACTGAGATCATTTTATCATCGGGCGGCGGGCGCCTTTAATCTTCCAGCTTGAGTTGGTAACCTTTGTTCCCTGCGATGCGTCGATTCGAAGGATGCTTTCCGTCCGGCCCCTCGTCCTCGGCCAGCGCGGCATGTGAGGCCGGCCCGACGAGCTCCATTTCACACCCTGCAGTGAGAACCGGCTAAACGGCTCACGTGGGACCTCATGGAGATGTTTTGAAGGACTGAGCGGAAGGTCAAGGGGGTGGGAATAGACTCTGTCTCTCACTTGCCTGGCAATGACAAAAAGGACGCAGCTGACGCCCAGGTAGGCCAGCAGGATGTAGATCCAAATGTCGGGCGTCATGGGGCTCAGGAAGGAGAAGAAGCCGTTGTTGGTGACGTTGGGCTTGCGGTACAGGATGCTGATGCCCATGTTCATGAAGGGCTTGGTGAAGTCCACCGCCTTGTCGCGCATGTAGGTGATGGTGAGGGGAGCCACCGCCAGGTCGGCCCTCTGGAACGCAAAAACATCAAATCAATCACAGCCGCTGTTTTATGGCATGCGCCGCATGTGCGACCCGTTTGGGGGGGAAATGGTGGTTTCTTTCTGACTTCCGGGTTGAGTGAACGCTGGCGCGTTTGGCTGCCGCTGCTCAATCCGTATTGTATTATGTTTTATTGTTTTTGTTATTGTAAAGTGTCCTTGGGTGTCTTGAAAGGCGCTTATAAATAAAATGTATTATTATTGTTATTCAATGAAAAATTGTTTTAGAGCGAGGCGAATAAGGCGTACTCCGCGCTAGACGCTTTCCAGCCCCCGCACTCAACAGTACGGCAAGCACACTGTTGGCAGCTGCTATGGAGGGAAAAAAAAAAAGAAAAAGATGAATCTCACTTCAGGTGCCATTCAATCTGCCTGCGCTGACCTCTCACAAATGTTTTCGGAGGCAATATTTTTTTGGCGCTTCCAAAGCCAAAATGCGCTCACGCGCCTGATCATCGAGTCGTAGCCTCTTCCAACCTGGTTCGGTTCCAAGGCAAATCCAGCTCGAAAAATGAATCACGTGTCAGTTTTTTGCTGTGGACCGTTTGATTGATAATCCGCCACAATTTTTTTTTTTTTTTTTTTTTTTCCGATTCACTTTGTTTTGGTCTTTTGCAACCAAATTTTGAGAGCTTGGAGACAGAACTGACATCTGAAAGCTCGGCGCATTCTTTGATTTGGGGCGCTTTTGGACATTTGAGGCGACGCATTCAACAAGCTGAATTTCACCCAGCATGCAAGCTGCAATATTTTCTTTGCATTGGGGTCCGCTCGCATCGAAGCCGTCCAACGTTTCAAGCGGTTCAACCTGAGCGGCGACGCCTTTTGCGGCACTTACGTGTTCGACGAGTTCCCGGATCATGCCGTTCCACTGGCCCTTGTCGTCCTGGGAGCCGTACTTGCCGTCGGGGACCAGGCGGATCTCGTAGGCGAAGCCCAGCACGCCGGCCAGCTCCTTGAGCAAGTCGACGCAGAAGCCTTCGAAGCGGTCGTTCCCCACCAGCGCCTTGTCGGACTTCTTCAGCATGACGTATGGCTCCTCCTGGCAGCGGGGGGGGGGAACCCCGCAATTAAAAAAAAAAAAAACGCCACGGGCGATCGACGAGTCCGCCTTCTCCGATTCGGCTATCTGACACCAAAACCCGAGTCGCTGTTGCACTTGAACAGGTAGCGACAGCAGAACGGCGAACTCGGGATAAAAGCGTCGCGGCGGCGGCGGCTTTCGTGGGGATGGATTAGCGAGAGAAGACGCTCAAGCTAACGTGAGCGACGCGACGCGCAACGTACGTCGAACTAAGCCTTCTGCGCATGGCTCGATTTTCCTCTCGCTGTCAACTTTGTCGCTTGACATCACACCGAGCGGATTCCATCCATGCTTTTCAATGAACCACGCCACGCTTGCCCGCCTCGCTTCACGCTAACGGTGATTAGCGCCCAACAGTTAGCGTGGCTCTTCTCCAAAAGGTTCTGAGGACTGACAGAACCGGCGCTTTCGCCGTCGACTTTGCCGGAGCTGTCCAATGAAGTCGATGAAACAAAGTTTGTGCGTGTTGAGGGAAGTCATCAGCATCTGTTTGGGAGCCTTCCAATTCCGGCGATTCCCCCCCCCGCGGTTTGGGCTGCAATCAAAGCGCTCGTAGCGGGGGCGGCGAGAGGAGGGAGGCGGGCCCGTGCGGAGGCATTACGGGCAATGGCGTGCAAACAATTAATGGAAGGGGAGAAAAGGCATTCGGCGGCTCCATCTCGTCCGCAAAGTTATCGCTAGCAAGCCGTCAGACGTCTCTCGTTCACGCGTCAGCGCCGCCGCTTTGCAGCAATGTCATTATGCCGAGATGGGGAGATTGATATGAAAGTTGAAGATTTGCTTCCCCAAATTGAAAATTGATTGTTTTATAACCTCGAACTAATGACTTGTCGGAAGTACCGCAAATGCACTTTTTGGGGAAAGGGGGGGGGGG